GGGGATACGGGCTGCTATCGGCTAAATATAGATAAGGCTTCCTAAGAATCTCTTGACAGGGCTTATTCTCCGCTCTATATCTAGATCTGGCCGCCTGCCTGCTGGGAAATACACATCAGACGGCGTGTGTGCGAGCTGTGGCCATGAACAAGAGCGAGCCCTGCACTTCCCTGTGCAGCACCCCTAAAGCACAGGCCAGGATCACAGAACGAGCTCTGGGTTTTTCCCCATCTCCATTCACAGCACTCGGAGTGTTTCCCTGCAGAGGTGAGGATCCCTGTAGCAATCTCTCTCCTGCACAAGAGATTTCCAGGCAGGGGCACCTCCGAGCCCTCGCGCTGCAGCAGTTTTGTCGAGAAATAAAAAGAGGAGGGAAAGACTTCTGAACTGTCAAGCCTAACAGAGCAAAGGGATCCGATGGAAAGAGACAGAATCTTTCTCCGGAGGAATTTCAGCAGCAGAAGAAATCATCTTGCTGAGCAGCAAGCACATGCCTGCCCTCACCCTGCGCACAGGCACACACTTGATCGCCCTCCTGCACAGCCTCACACCTTCAAGCCCTCACCTCTCGGCAGCAACACGAGCTTAAAAACTCCGTCCTGGCTCACCAGGGCTGCTCCTTTTTGGGACAGAAGCAGCTGCCCAGAAGGACCTGCAGGTTTTGGTTAAGCATCAGTACGTCCTCGCCCCTACTCTGTTTTGCTCCTGAGTGCCCAAAAAGCAAACCAGCCACGGAGGGGAGTCAGATTTTACAGCCACCACACTGCCCCAAACCCAGCAAGCCTCGCCGGACACAAGCTGATTTTTATTTCTAACACACTATTTAAAAATTATACAGCTCCAAGCAGCTCTGTTTTTGGAGAATCCCTCCTTCAGGGCTCCTGCGTGCCCGATTCATCGTTTTAAACAAACGGGCAGTGAGCAAGGACCCACTGTCTCCTCGTGAAGCTGGCCGCGCGCCCTGCCAGCCTCCGCCTCGCCGCGCAGGGCTCTAATCCCATTAAACCTCGCCAGGAGAGGAGCTTCCCGCTCCCACGTTCAATTAGGCGTGTAAAGCCTCTTATCACCCGCACGTCGGGAGCCCTTTGGGCAAGAACTGCCTCTCGGAGAGGTGGCAGAGCCCATCTTCCTCCTGCTTTTCCGTGGAAACGGAGCTCCTGGAGGGCTCCCTCTCCCCCTTTCCAGCCAGGCAATGGAAAGGGAAGGGCTAATGGAGGGCCTGGCAACACAAAACCCGCTGGCAGCCAGCCACCAATTCCATAGGAAATACCCTCCCTAGAAGGTCACCGGAGCGGTGGCAAAGTTTGGCCCTGAAAGAATTGGGAAGAGCTGCCAAGCCGTGACGCAAACGGAGGCGGCGAGCAGCCCGGCTTCCTGCGCGAGGCCGGCACGCCGAGAGGCTGAGGGCTGCGAGGAGCACAGCAGCCTCCTGCCACGGCCCCCTTCTTGCTGTCCTTTTCTTTTTTCTGGCAGAGAAGCGGGATGTTTTGTTGCCGGTTGATTAATCTCTTATGCAAATCACTTCGCTGCTAATTTGATACGGACGTGAGCTCACCACGGAAATCATCTGTGGGCTCGGGGCTGGTGAGAGGAGGAGCAACAGCAGGGTCCCCTCCTGACCAGGGATTTGACCCCAGGGCTGCCAGAGAATGGGGACAGCCACCAGGGAGCCCAAGAGGAAGGTTCCTTGGACACCTCCCAGCTGAAAGCCTCCTTCCAGAGCACCCCTGCCTTCTGCTCCCCGAAAAATCCCACCCAGAGACCTTTCGCCTGCAGCTTTCAAACTTTGCCAGAACCACTCTTCATGCACGAGCTCAACCTTAGGTCAGCGAAAAGAAGACTCAAAATAGGTCTGACGGGAACTTTGACAACCCATTCAGCCCCTAAACGTGTTTTTTTCTCTGCTCAATACAAGAAGCCAACAACTGCCATGATAGGATTGAGGTCAGGAGCACACAGGGATCACTTGGTACCTCCCAAAGGAGCATGATTTTGGGCTGCTTCTTTTCCATGGAGGCTTCTTTTCCTCCTAAAACAGGACCTAGGGGCTCCAAGAGGAAAGGGGCTTGGCCGCCGTGCCTTACCCCAAGCATTTCGCTTCCACTGCTCATTTCTGGCTGCTTCTCCTCGCGCATCTCAGATGTTTCGCATCGCCTCAGCCAGCAATCTGTGTCGAAGCCTATCCGGCGTGCTCATTTGTATTCAGTTTCCTTCAGTGGTAACACACTATTCAAGCAAAATCAAAACAAAGCCTCCAAATAAGCACTTGCGAGACGTACCTAGTCATCTGAGTAATTAGACAGCCTCCTGCTTCCAAATGCACCAAAACCCACAGGAGGGTGCCAGCAGTTCCCACCACGGCACCCCGATCACCCGCGGCGGCACCCAGGGGTGGAAGGATGGAGGAGGCACAGCGAGAGGAGCAGAGCCACGAGCAAACCCATGGATCTGCTCAGCTGCTGCGAACCCACAGCCTCAATCGTTTTCTGTTGCCCCAGGGAAGTCGGCAGCGGGGCCAGCACGGAGCCCACGTGCCGCGAGGCCATCCCACAGCACCGAGCAGCAATATCCAGCCCGGGGGATGGCTGCACGCGGGCTCTGCTCACGTTTCCTCACCCCACAGGCAAGCTACGGGAGCAAGGTGGCAATGAAACACTCAGGCAGTGCCCGAGCAGTGATCTCCAGCGTGGTTTTTTTTCCAAAATTTCCTATTTTTCTTTCCTCTCCCTGTATTTCCACGGGGCATCAGGTCACACTCACCCTGCCTGCAGTTCACTCCGCTCCACAGTCCAACCCTTAACGTGAACTTTCTTAATTATATGGGAATTAAAGCAGTAACCTAAAGCAAACCCTGTCCTGAATGGGAGCACTGACCCTCGCCACCTCCTGTTCCAGCAGACCCTGCTGCCAAAAAAAAATAAATAACTTTCTTCCCAAGCCTATTTTCTTCCTCTGAACAGCCTCCGTGTGCTGCTGCCTCCTCCTGAGGCTCCCTCAAGACGGGACGGGACCGTGGTCCTGCCATCCTCACCCACAGCAAGAGCACTTTGGGACAAAAAAGAAGAAAAAAAAGAAAAAAAAACACACAATAATTCATACTTTTCAACGTAAGGAAACTGAGCGGAAGGGTTAGATTCTCTCAGCTGAGCATCACTCCTCATTTTTGTAGGTAGAGGGAGAACTTTATTTAAGGTAACCCTCCAGGAAGGAAAACAGCTCAAGCACAGAGGTAAGAAAAGGGAGAGGACGGTGAGAAAAGGGACTAAAAGGAAGGCACCGCTCCCTCCCGGCCCCGAGCAGTTCCACCCAGCGAGCAGGGCAGCCTGAGTCACGTTTCGGGGATGACTAAAGGAAAGTGCTCGCATTTCCGAGGCGGCCCCGTCGGGAACCCCAGCAGCTATACGTGCTGAAGAAAGATGTCAGAAGTCAGAAAGATGTCAGAAGAGCAAGGGAGACCAGCACACCGCTGGTCCTTAATCCAAAAAAATTAAGGAAGGGGGATGGAAGCAGTAGGAACCTGGGGGGAGCTCGCAACCGGTGAAATCCCACCCGAGAGCCAGGCTGACACGCCGAGGCCCGCTGGCCTCCACATCCTCTTTTCACATCCCAGATTTCTGCTGGAACACCAATTCTGAACGTTTTTCCCCCTGCAGGACGGTTTTCATCCCCATCCCTCTCACTTTAACCCAAAAAAAACGTTAAAACAGCTTTGTGCGGCAGAGCAATGATTACACTGGGAACTCAAAACGCCGAGGTGGCAGCACAAGTCGGGGAGCGCAGCCCGAAAGCCTCTCCCACGGCGCCGTTTTGGGAAGCCTGTCGCGAAACGCACCGCCCGGCCCTGGCGTGGCATCGCAGGAGGCGGCGTGAAACAGCTGCAAAGGGCAGAATTTCGGGGCCAGGCCTCGCACCCGGCTCCTGCGACAGCGTTCGGACACGGCGCAGCGCTCACCCTGCGGGCAGAGCGACCCCGCTGCAGGAGCCGCAGCCCCGGCTGCTCCTGCCTTCAGCTCGGGGCACCCAAACCCTTTGGGCACTTTGGGGACATCTTTTGGGACCGGCAATAGGACCCGCTGCCATACGGAGCAGCCCCCGTCCTCACGCTGCGTTTCGGGGTCATCCCCGGAGCTGCAAAGCGAGCACGCCGGGTCGGGAGCTCGCTTCCAGATCTGCAGGTATCAGCAGAAATGGAGATGCGGGACCCAAAGTCCTTGACGGTGACGGGCACTCATCAAGGGGGGGTTATTTTATTTTAGGGACCACTGTTATGAGGTTAGGGGGATAGAAACCCCGCTACCTTGCTGTCCCATGGGCGAGAAGGGTTTCAAAGCAGCCTTACAACAAGGGGTCCATGCCCTCTGCACACCACAACACGGATTCATGCTGGAGCCTGGCACCCCCAAAAAAAAACCCAAAAGCTCCCCAGCTGCTCCCACCCCCTCCTATAGGGGCACAAACCCCAAATCCCCCCCGTAGGATGCGGTCAGGGAGCGGGAGCACCTGCAGCTGTAGGGCTGGCTGAAAACCCCAGGGTTTTTCAGACCCGCCGCAGGGCTCGCTCACCCCAAAATGCAGGATTTAAGGTTTTTTCCCCCAAAATTTAGGGTTTTTTGCCCCAAAACCCCCCTCCGGCCAGGGCAGGGCTGCAGGGTGCGGGTGGCGCAGGACATAGCGGGATGGGGCGGGTGGAGAGCTCCGGGGCTGCTGGGGGGGGGTTAACCCAGCGGGAAAATGGGGTGAAAAACGGGGAAATAGGGCAAAAGCAACGGGAACGGCACGGGAACGGCACGGGAACGGCACCGGTAACGGGCACCGGGAGGGGAAGGGAGGGGAAATGAAGGGAAGGGAGAGGGAAAGGGGAAAAAGGGGAAAGGGAAGGGAGGGATGGGGAAGGGGGCAGGGAGGGGACCGGGCACCGCCACGGCCCCGGGGACCCTAAAACGGGAGCTGGGAGGGGCGGTGGCGGCGGGGCTGCGCTGGGCTCGGCCGGGAGCCGTTACCTGGGGACGCAGCTGGGGCTGGAGCCGTCGATCTCCCAGGTGGCGAACAGGTTCATGGGCACCGGGCGGCCCAGCGCCCCCGCGCCCCCCGGGAAGCTGAGGCGGCCCCGCTCCGCCGCCGCCGCCATGGCCGCGAGCACCGGCCCCGCGCCGCCCGCCCCGCGCCGCGGCGTCACGTGGGAGGGGGCGTGGCCTCGGGTGGAGTGGGCGGGGCCTCGTCGACGGTGGGCGTGGCCTCGCGGTGTCGAAAGCCACGCCTGTGCTCGTTGAGGCCACGCCCACCTCGGTGAGGCCACGCCCACTCGCTGAGGCCACGCCCACCGCCCCCTAGGCCACGCCCACCCGCCCCGGCTGCGCCCAAACCGGAAGTCGCCGCTCTCTCTCTCCCACCGGAAGTCGCTGCCGCAGCTTCCGGCCAGCTCAGTGCCGGCGGCGGCACCGGAGGAGGAGGAGGTGTCCGGGCGCTGCGCGGCGCCCTCCTGTCCCGCCGCCATGGTGTTGCTCACCATGATCGCCCGCGTGGCCGACGGGCTGCCGCTGGCCGCCTCCATGCAGGAGGATGAGCAGGTGGGGTTCAGACAACGGGCGGGGCCCGCGGGGGTCCCGGGGCGGGGTGGGTGGGCGGTGCTGCCTGTGCAGGGGGGGTTAGGCCTGGCCGGGGGGTGCCCCTCAGCCGCGGCCCTCAGCCTGTGCCTCCTCTCTCTCTCCCTCCGCAGTCCGGCCGCGACCTGCAGCAGTACCAGAGCCAGGCGAAGCAGCTGTTCCGCAGGCTGAACGAGCAGTCGCCCACCAGGTGCACGCTGGAGGCGGGAGCCATGGCTTTCCAGTGAGTACCGGGGTGCCGAGGGGCAGCCCGCTGCCGCTCCTCCGTGTGTGGCTTTCATCTCGTTTTGTAGCTCTGCCTTTGCTGGACCCAGCATGGGTTCACCTCCATTTAAGCATTCCCTGTTGGCTTGCACCCTGTCTGCCTTCATTGGGTCCTCTCTACCTTCCACCTTCCTGCCTTCAGTGTTTTCTCTCTACCTTCTGTCTTCTCTTCTTAAAAAGATGCTCCACACCTTGCCCTTCTCTTTCAGTAAGTCTTTGGTAAAAGCAGCTTGGCGTTACCACCGTGAACCCCTTCTGCACAGGACTCCCCTCTCCATAAGAGCGTACCTCATAACACGTCCACTTGGGTCAAGGCACGCAGGGCATCTCTGACTTATTTCTTCAGTATATTTGCCAAACGTGTTTTTCACACCTGCTACATTTGTCAAATGTGTTAACATTTAATTAATCTCCTTAAATATTGGAAAACATTCAGCTTAAAAGCTCTTTTGGCTTTCTGCAGTAGCACATCAATAAGGTAACTCAAATATAAAGTAAGGAAAGCCTGCAGAGAATGTGGGTCAGGCACCCTTGGTCCCCAACGAATAGCAGTGGGACAGGGAAGGAAAGTAGGAGGAAGAATTCACAGCCCATGAAAGGCAGCAGAGCAGGCTCATCTTTGAGAAGAGGAAATGCTTCTTTATGTGACCTGTAATTAGCAGAATAATTGTGGGAGAATTGATTCAAACCCAAGGTCTTGTCAAGTCTCAGAGTTATGCTACCAGCAGGAATCCATCTGTTAGAGAAGGAAGCCTCAGTGAGGCTGGGTGCTGTGTGGGGTGGCCAAGGCAGAGCTGTGCAGGTTTGGCAGTGCTGTGCCAAGCATTGCTGCACGGCACTGGGGTTGTTCTCTGTCCCCAGACCCTGGTGGCTGGGTAGATGGCCTCCAAATCCACGACATCTGGCTTTAGTTCTGCCCTCCTGTACTGAGGGCCCTTTAGTGCCTCTCCTGCTCGACCCTTTTCTGAAGTGTTCAGGGATTTGGCAACATGAGGAAACAAGAAGAGGAGATTTTGGGGAGAGCTGTCTTCAGCAGAAGCCGCGTGGTCCCCAGGGCAACTTTTCTTGTGGTTGGCTAACGTACAACGACTGCTGCAAGATTGTTTGGTTTGGCTTTTCCCCTGGCTCTGCTTGGCTCAGATAGGGAGCTGTCGTGGTCTGATTGGAGAGGGTGGCACTGATTGGGGTTGTCTGTCTGTTCTTATCTGCTGTAGGGTTTGGGTGCTGTTCTCGGAGTTAACCAGGGAGTGCTGCTCTGCATCTTCTTCCTAGAAATTAAAATTTGGTAGAATTAAAAAGTTTCTAAGAGTTCCTGGCACAAAAGAAGTGCTGCTTCTTTTCAGCTGGGCTGTTAAGGCAGTGCAGAGAAGAGCATGATCAGATCAGAACGTCTCCTGTGGTCGTGGTGCAGGAAGGGGAGGAAACAGGGGAGTTGGAGATGCTGAAATAATGCTGATGGCTGTGCTGTGAGTGAGCACAGCGCGTCTTGTGTTCTGCCAGGTCAGAGCTCCGACTGCTGAGGGCAGCACAGGCCAGGGCTGAGCCGTCTGTGGTGCGAGAGGAGCGTGGCTGAGCTTGCTGAGGTGGCAGTGGACGTTTTTAGCTTCATCACCTCGGAGGAGAGCCTGGTCGTGGTGAAGTGTAAACTCACAGAATGACTGCTGAAGTGAGGGCTGTAAATACAAGGCGCAGGCTTCAGCTCCCGAAGCTGTGTCACTGCAGGTGCAGGAACACCCACGTAGCCGCCGTGCTGCGGGTTGCGAGGTGACCTTTGCCTCATTAATGGCCTAAGGCTCCTAGCTGTCATGTTGAAAGCAACCCTTGGTCATTGCCACTGATAGCAGGTCGAAGGATAAAGCTGCTCTCTCAAAATCACCCAAAACGAGGAGAGGAACCTGCTGGCTGTGCTCGGGTACAGAGGTTAGAACTGGCTGACTGCAAACATTGGCCCCAGCCGAGCAGACTGCGTGCTTGGGCGCTGTCTAAAGCTCAGAAGGTGTAAAATTCAGAGAGATGGCTGGCTGTGCGGGAGCGCTGCTCTGCTCGGGGGCTGAGCCTGGCAAAACTCTGCCTCCGGGGCAGAACGAGGTGTGCTGGCTTACCCTGGTGCTGATGGATGGACTTCAGATCCAAGGTATCACCTCGGGGAAAAGCAACGGGGGATACCGGGTACTCGGAGCCAGAAGCAAGTTGAGTGAGGTGCGTTTGAAGGGTTTGGAGTGTCTGGAAGCACAGCGGGGACCGAGTTGTTCTATAAGCTTGATGCAACTATTAATACAGTTTTTAAGCTACTTATTTAATGACAGTGCCCTCACGAGTAGGTTAATTCTCTAATACGCCATTAAGCTCTGCGCTAACGAGACCGCTACGTAATGGCCTTGTACAGAAAGTCAGAGGAAGGTAACGTACAAGTAACGTTTAAATTCCATCTTGAATAAAATAGCTAAAATTCTCAGTGCTCCAGGGCTGTCTGCCAGCTTCACTGCCTCGGCTTTGGTAGAAATGTTGCTGCCTCTTTTTGTATTGGCCAGCTGAGGAGGGAAGTGGAGGAAGGATCACCCAGCAGCAGGCAATTGCAGGGAAACCCAAAGAACATCAGGGATCTTGGGGCTGATGCCATCCAATCCCTTACTTCGGTAGGGTTTTTAGCTGACTCAGAAGGAAACACCCCTCTCTGTTCCCTGTGCTGAGCCTTTGCATGTGTGCTGGGGAAGCCAGCAGAGCCCCTCTAGCCCCAATGTTTTATTCAGCTGCATTTGAGGTGCATGTGGATGGCAACGCCCCACCGACAGGTGAGTGCCGGGGAGGAAGGGGGCACCCAGAGCCCCAAAAGGGCAGGTGGGAGCTGGCAGCCACTGGGCGCCCTGTCAGAGGGTTGAGACCGAGTTCCTGTGCGTGCCTGAGCCTCGTGGCAGGGCTTTTTGTTCGTGGGCCTCAGGAACTTGGCTGTGCTGTGCTGTTTTAGAGCTCTGCTTGGCCACCTTCCCCTCTGCTCTGCTGGCAAACTCTCTTGTGCTTCCCTTCTTCCAGCTGCAGCAGCATCCTCCCTTTTTGTAATGAAGTTATTACTCTTGTTACGGGTATTTTGTTTTGATGATACTCAGGCCAACTTTTGAAGGTGAAGGACAGAAGTTGATGTGTCCAGGTGCAGGGTATGAAAAGTGATGCTGGAGAGGATGGACCCAAAACCACTTGCTTAATTCTGTCTGTGCTTCTCCTAGCTACATCATCGAGAAAGGGGTTTGTTACCTGGTCCTGTGCGAGTCGGCGTTCCCGAAGAAGCTGGCCTTTGCCTACCTGGAAGATTTGCATTCGGAGTTCGATGAGCAGCACGGCAAGAAGGTGCCAACGGTCTCCAGGCCCTACTCCTTCATTGAATTTGGTGAGGTCCCTCTCCAGGGGGCTGGCTAGGAAACTTTTTGGTTTTTTTTTGGGGTGGGCAGCAGCTGCAGGATGCTCACCAGCTTGGCCGGTGGAATTGGCAGTTTGGCCTCTTCTTAGTGCAAAAGAAATTGGTGTTTTGAGTGAGGAATGCTTGTGAACAGAGAAACAGTAGGAAAATGGTAAATGCCCTTTGCTTCAGATTTCTCTAAGGCTTTTGGCTCGTCTCCAGCGAATGTTTGCAAGCAGTCTGTTGGCTGTCTGAGCACTGCTCCCACTCCCTTGGCAGCTGGGCTGCTCTCCGTTCCGTGTTTTCTCCACGTTGCATCTCCAGGAGGTGGTGTGGAGCTACTGAGGTGCAGTAAGGCTTTCTGATACAGCGTCCTGGGTGAGAGGGAGTGGGATGAGAGTGCGAGGAAAACCAGTATCCACCGGTGTGCTGGGAAGGGAGGGAGAACTCCCGGTGGCTGCGTTGAGGTCTTGTTTTCCTGCTGGTGCTCCTGCCATTTACAGTGAGAGGTGCATTAACCTGAAGTTGAATGGTTCCACCCCCTGTGCCCTTTTGTTTCTGTATTTGAGGGTGTGTTTCTGGGAACACAATTCACCAGAAACCTGGGGGTTTTCACAGAACACCCCTGTTCCATCAGACCATTGACTGGAAGTGGTGGTGGGTCCTTCAGCTGAAGATGTAGGCTAAAGAAGGGGCAGCCCAGTTCCTTTTGCAGGGCAATCAGGTGCTTTTGGGGAGATCGAGAGCTTCCCTCTGACGGCCCTCTCTCGTTCCAGACACCTACATCCAGAAAACCAAGAAGCTCTACATCGACAGCCGGGCGAGGAGGAACCTGGGCTCCATCAACACAGAGCTGCAGGACGTGCAGAGGATTATGGTGGCCAACATTGAGGAAGTCTTACAGCGCGGAGAGGCACTTTCA